CAGATAAGTGGAATTTGAGCCTGCCTATTGTCATTTATCAGCAATGTAACCCTGGGAAAATGACCCAACCTTTTAAAACCCCAGTTGCCACATTGATAAAATTGGAATAATTATAAGAAGCTTATATTAAATAAAGCATTGCATTACATGAAGTCAAGCACATGGAAAGTGCTCAGTAAAATTTAGCTGCTGTTATTTCTCAAGGGTCATTTTCATTTGTGCTTATGCATGAGCCTCTGCTGGAGGCCTTGCCCCATCTTTCTGTGCCCTGTTCCCTTATCCTGTATGTGAGGCTTGATACCGATGAGCAGTTCTAGTGCTGACAAACTCCAAAGCTGCAGATTCAGTAGCGGCGCCCTACCCTCCGTTTTTATCATTGGCCTTGAGCCAATAAAAGATAGAAATTCCTGGCTATTAATGTTTTATTCAAGGGAACCAGCTGACCTCGGGCTTATCTGGGAAATAGAGTGTGTTGTTAAGAGTGGGTAGAGGAGAAATTCAAATATTGCTTCTGTCATTGTTTAGCTGCATCGTCTTAGGCACATTATTTACCCTCTCTGGGCAAGAGTTTTCTTTTTTTTATTTGTTTAACTGCATTTTAACTATTATCGATAACACTTTGCCTTTTCTTTCCTAAGAGAACTTTGGCTCTCTTTCAGTTTTGTTTATCTGTCTTCCCTCTGTTTATTTATTTATTTATTTAATCATATTATGGAGATACAAATATTGTTAGGGTTACATATATTGCCCCTGCCATTCCTCCCTCCACCCCCTGACTTACCAAACATCAAGCGTGTCCTACCCCCAGGTGGTACGTATTGCACCCATTTTGTAAGTTTAAATTCTTCCCCTCCTACCCCCTCCCATCTGCCCACCACCCGATAAAAGTTTGCTTGTTTTTTCTTTTTTTGATGGGCAACAGTTTTCTTATCCATACAATAGTGGGGAATGATGGCTGCCTCATGCAACGGCTGTGTGGATCAGGAACACAGGCAGCACTTAGAACAGTGCTTGGCACAAAGTAAGCACTCCATAAGCATTAAATATGATTATCATTGGTCATATATACCTAAAAGAAAGGATGAAAAAGCCTTCCTGACTATCTCAACAATCCTAGGCCATTATTTCATTATATTATTAGATACGTTATTCATTCTCTATTACACAATTTTATCTCATATAAAGGTAAAAAATCAATGACCAAAAAGCTTACCTCCTGGGTATGAACTGACAGAACACAGGCAAGATGACTGCAGTTGTTTCTCGGCTCCTTGATCTAATGTACCTCTTGTTTTAAAATAAAAATCCTGTACTGCTTTAGAGCAGATGCCATTGAGTACAAGGGCATGAGGTAGCTGGCTCAAATTACATGGCTTCCAGTAAGAAGAATTTAATATAAAAGGGAGCAAAAAAAATGAAAAAAAAAGTCAAAAGCCAGATGGTCATTAACCATCCTGAACTGGCAATTGACAATTAAGTAATTGATCCATAATCAAAATCTACAAATGAGATTTCTGTTCTGTGGAGACTCCCCAATCACTGTATTTGAAAGCTGTCTGGGGAGGGATTCTAGCTTCTAGATGTAAGGAATAGTAAAGGCGGTGATTGTCAGGGAACTCACTAAAAGAACTTAACCACTATGCTGAGTGTTTTCCAAAATGCCATGAGCACATTTCTTTTCCAATAGAGGATGTAATTTATCAAATGTTAAGATTGATTTTTCTCAGGAAAGCTCCTTTCTGGAGCTGGGTTTTGAAACTGTACACATTGCATTTCTTTTTTTAAAGCCATAATCAAGGATGCTTACTTAAGGACCGAAAAGTTTGAATATCACTGAGTGATCTAAAGGCTACTCCCAGTGGAATGCTAGAGTTTAATGGACTTCATATATAACACAACAATCATTTTAGAAATATTTAAGCTTAATAAAATTATATTCTGAGACCCAAAAAGCACAATGGATAGAGAAGTGCAAATTCTTAAGAATAGTTGACTGAGTCTCTGGCTGCTTAGTAATATATCCTATCTTTTATCTCCAAGGTTTTGTTGATTTATAAAAACCTGAAATTGAAAGCTGTTACTGTCAGCCCAGGTCTATATGCTTTAATGTTTCCATAATCTCATATTGATGGACTTTAGGCAAATGCATCAATCATACTAGATACAAGTTTGAAACAAAGGTAAAACATGTTAGTAGTCTCTGAAAGGAAATGCAATTAAAATGATTAAAAGTTAGTAAAAATTATGATATTATCCATAAAATGGTAAAAACATACTCTGTTGAGATTTGTGCATAAACTTCATCCTAAATAAAATAAAGTCCAATATTTGAGCTTCTAGTTTTAATTTATTTCTCTGTAGTCTCAGCTATATGCACTGTCATTATCAGATAATGTCTATGCAGCTGAATGCTATTAGTACCCTCCATTTTGACTAGACTATTATATTATAAAACATGAGATTGGGCAATTTTACATCTACTCCTTTTATTGATTCTGACTAGTAAGTAGGCAATCAATGGTGATTACAAGATGCAAAGCATTCCGGAGTAGAAAGAAAATTAAATTTGGCTCTTCATGTCTCTTAACTATACAAATATAATATCTTCAAGAGGAACAGCAGGCAGACTTTAATATAAATAAATACACCGTTTAAGATCCAAAATCAGCAACAAAATTTATGAGACCACTTCAAAATGATGGTGCATTTTTAAAAAGATTATATTTTCAAAGGAACTGCTCTATTTAAATTATTAGCAGTATAAGTACGTGGCGACATTAATTAGTGGGTAAAAGAACAGAAGGAATATTTATTAAAAGAAAAGGGAGAGGCCATGGAAGACATGAGGCCCAAAGCTCTGGTTTCCATGGAGGTAAGGAAAGATATACACAGGAAAACAGGTTGAAGCAGTCATTCTGTGGTTTCTCTAAGCATGGAGTGCAATCAATATTTTTGTTGAATTTGTTTCACCTATAAATAACTTCATCCACATTAAGTGCCCTTTATGTGTTGTTATTCTGGATTTGTACTTGCCTTCACTTGAAAAGATACTATTATAGTAAAAAGGATCTGATCTTGAAATGTTTTAGCAACTAGGAAAAGGTTATTTATTATATCCGTCCATTCCATTCACTTTGATTTAAGTCAATAAAGACCAGATGAGACTAACCCTGGAATCTGGGCTGTTAAATAGTCACACAATACCATGTTGCTATCCAGAGTTTCTGAATCAAAAGGCCTTCATTATTCATTCCCTCCATAGGAAAGCGGTCCAAAGTAAAAATTACCCATAGATATGTGGGAAATGCCTGGTGAGTCTCCATCAGTCTGATCTCATTTGACTCTTCTAAATAGAGGGGTCAATCTATGGACTAAATCTGTTTCTTTTATTATAGCCATATATTAATTTCATTTCATGCCCTGCAGTGACAATCTGCCTTTCACGGCCTGGCAGTATCCAAAATGGTGAAAGGAACAGATGCCACTGAGGACCAACTAGCAGATACTGGGAATCGTCCCTCCTTCAATCTGCACACCTCACTGGCCTGAACTTGATGGGTACCATCCAGGAGTTAATCTGCTTATTTATCTGCCCTTGTGTGAGAGGCAATGTAATTTAACAAGCGGTAAGGTTCTCAGAATTCTAATTAATTTGGTAATGTATGATAATCTAATGTACTAATACCACAAGGAGCAAGCGGCTAGCCATCTGAGATGAATTAGCCCCAAGATACAATGAATAGTCCTAGAAAAAAGCATACAATCTGTCGATAAGATACAGAATTGTATTTAGCATAAATCGCTTATCAGACTTAACCACCGTTTACTAGCAACAAATAGCAGAGTCAGGAATTGAAGTCAAGCTGCTCACTTCCAAGCCTGTTCACCTCACCCTGTATTCCAAGACATCCCACAAGCCACATGCAGGACCAAGAGGCCACCAGTGGGCACCGGAGTGGGCACCTCCGGCTGTTTATGCCAGCATGTGAGCTTATTAATGAGAATTGACTCTTATGATCATTATCATGCCATCATGGTCATTGTGTTGATCTTTTATTGTACGAGTAGTTTATGTGAATTACATCTGCACAAAATCTAAAAGATAGGGGTATTTATGTTCGCCTTGCAGGTGAGAAAACTGAGACTCTCAAAGTCAAGTACTTTTTCATACATTTAATTATTACCACAACCTGGCTCTAAACCCGTCTTTATCTGACCCCAAAGTCTAAGCTCTTATCCATTCTACCACAATACCTCTTTTATCCATTGTACTTCAAAATATGGGTAACACATTAAAAGTAATCCACTCTAGGAAGCACTCCATGTGGTATAAGAAAAGATATATTCACCCATCTATGAAATTGATTAGCAATTGTACCCTGTTGCTGTGTTATTTACCAAGGCCAAATACTAAGTCCAATGCCAACTACTCTATGTCTCTAGGCTCTCAGTATTAAATTATTATGTGTTTAAAGAGTTTGGCAGATCTAGAAATAACTCATTTTCATGTTACAGTTTAAAAAACATATTCCTGGCTGGGCGCGGTGGCTCACGCCTGTAATCCTAGCACTTTGGGAGGCCGAGGCAGGCGGATTGCTCAAGGTCAGGAGTTCGAAACCAGCCTGAGTGAGACCCCGTCTCTACCAAAGATAGAAATAAATTAATTGACCAACTAAAAATATATATACAAAAAAAAAATTTAGCCGGGCATGGTGGCGCTTGCCTGTAGTCCCAGCTACTCGGGAGGCTGAGGCAGTAGGATTGCTGAGCCCCGGAGATTGAGGTTGCTGTGAGCTAGGCTGATGCCACGGCACTCACTCTAGCCTGGGCAACAAAGTGAGACTCTGTCTTAAAAAAAAAAAAAAAACATATTCCTAAATGATATATGATTTTAAGATCACAAAAATCCATCAAGATAAATATTATTATTATTTATTTTAAAATAAATAATAAAATATGTTCATTTTAAATATAAGGAAACATACACATATAAGGTCAAAAATAAAAAGGTACAAAAACAGAGATTTAGAAAATTTGTTTGATACATATAGAATCAGTATTCAAATCCTATTCTCTTGACTCAGTCTTCTGGAAGATTCTAGAGTCTTCCAGAATTCTAAAACTGCCTCTCTAGGTCCAGCTTCCAGCTAACCTTGTACCCACTCTTCAGCCTCATTATTCTCCTAGAAACATCTCTGGTCTTCTACATGGAATAAATCCTGCAAGAACTGCAGACTTTTTGGACATTTGTCGAATACAAACAGCCCATCAATGGACTGACTAGAACCTGCAGGAAAGGGCATCATGGCTCTCTTTCCCCCACCTGACACTGGCACCTTATATAATTGCTACACCGGGGATGCTCAGAAGTAATAATGTCTTCTGATGTCATTATTTCTTTAACTTTCATAATTATTTTAAGTGCTTATAAAACTAGCACAATAAATAGGTACAGTAATCCAGCAAATAATAACAAACTATACATTTTAGAATAATTACTAATATTATCATTAATATATTTCATACTTAGTTTCCTCAATTTATATTCTATATTTTGCTTCAGTGAAGTATTCTCGAACCAGTCTTTGCCATCATTACAAATAAGCCAAATTCCCAGCGACCATAGAACAGTGTTTCTAAAGAAATAAATTCAGTTTTGGGGTCATTAACATACTCCCATGAGACTACAAGCAGCACAACTGTTAGGGAGAATACATTTTCTTCCTCCAGGAGAGAAACCACCACATTTTTTTCCAGCCTCCTCTCAGAGGATGATCGCCATTTCCAACAGAATTCACAGTAAATACAGAAACACTCAACAATATGACTTAAGTGAAGGAATCACTTGGGACTCTAAAAAGATTATTTTTAAGCCAAAAAAAAAAATCCCCCAAAGTTTCTGCGAACTGTCATGGCACAGCAAACTTTTCAGAAGTGAGAGAAGCAAAGATAAGATACTATAGAGATGAGCTTCCCAATTCCCCATAGAGCAGCCTAACACATTGCTACCTCCATTTCTAAGCATTTTTCCAGTTGTTTCTTTTTCAGAGAAGAACCCGTTTTAGAAATTTTCATTTAAGAATAAATGAAAACAACTTTGAAATGTATTAAACACATCATCTGTTCTGCAGGATAAATAAGTCACTCTGGACAGATAGGATTAAGAGCCTGAGAAGTCAGCAAAAAATAGTCTCATTCCGGCTTTTGTATTGCTTGCTGTCTTTTATTTTCAGAGAAGGCATACTTGATGAGAAAATGATATCAAGTATATTGTATTCAGATGTGGCTGAAAAGGCCGAAGCTGGATCAACTGAGATCACGCATGCATTGAGCAGAGATTCATTGTCCTTCAACCAATAAGTAAGTGGGGCTGCTATCCAAAGAGCCCTTCCCGGTTTATGACATTTCTACTTTCCTAGACTTGTAGCTGGCCCTTTACTCAATATGAGTAGCTCCAATCAGTCCTGTAACTTGCTAGGCTGGGAATGCAGCTTTACTTCCTTGAAAGGCATCTAGCAGGAATCCAGTCTGAGACTATGTTTAATGCATCTTCAAGGAACTTTTACCAGTTTCCTGCTTGTGAGGAGGTCCTAGCTCCACTGAGAGGAATTACTTGGATGTCCTTAACCATGATTAATCCAGTAGAGATGCATTGCAGTGCATCTCAATGCAATGCTGCCACCCCTGGAGGACTGACCACAGCACAGGGCTCCATCCAGTCTAGTCTTGCCATTTATGCTCACATGTCTGGCTTATATGTGACACTAACTAAGGCTCCCCATTGGCTGATGTTGATGTTTTTGGTCGATGCAGATCTTACAGCCCTAACAGAATTAGAAAATACTATTAACATCTGGACCTGAAGGTGTGTCACTGCCATATTTAACCTCCCTGAACCTCAGTTTCTTTATCTACAAAACTGGAATGATAATACTACCTACTCATGAGCTTATTCTTATTGTGAGATTATTATCAATGACCTAGGCCACAGTGTAGTATGTAGTAATCACTCAGTCAATATTAATTATTATCGTTGTTGTTTCTCAGCTTCTCAGAACATGTGCTGACTTTAAGTGTCTAGAATAACCCCTAACATGAAAATGATAAAGCTGGAACTCTAATTTTATAGAGTGAGTGACTTTTGTGTAAACATGCAAGGAGTTTATAATAACCCAGATTGAATTTTTTTGATGATGTGTTAGATCAAAAAATATTATATAAATGGACTTTATAGTTCCCCAAATAACAGTTGATTCTGACCTCATAGATGTGAAGTTTCCTGGAATGTAACAAGAAAGCACTGAAGAGTGTTTTAATGTTGAGAAAGTTCAAGAAAGTGAGAAAGGGAGAGGAGGAAGAGATTAATACCTAAGGCCAAATCGGTTATTGGTGAAAGGGATAATGCTATTTTTGTTTCAACTTTGTCTTTAGAAAAGAATCTTTGTGATTCAAGTCTCATCTAAGAAAAAAATTTAAATGTTTTAAAGTTGATGCAAGAAGAGCTTATGTGGATTACCTGATACTTATGTAGTACTTGAATAAGAACAAAAAAGAACATAGATAATTTGCTATCTAAAAGTCATATAAATATTCTTTAGTAAACTACTAAAGTGAATGTTTTCATCAGTGAACAGTTCTTGAATTCTGGTTTTAAGTAACTGAAGGAGAGCCAATTAGCATCAGTGAAAGATTATTTGGGAGGTTTTACATAAAACATCATCATCTCACAATGATGTTCTGTTGAGACATCAGTGATATGTATCTTTGAATGAGATTTAATAATGAGAATGAGATTAAAGTATATCTAAGTCAATGTTATAACCAAATTGTAATGGAAAGTTTCAGGTGCTGAAAAAATATAAATCCTTGTTGCATGTGTGTGTCTGTGTGTGTGTGTGAGAGAGAGAGAGGGAGAGAGAGAGAGAAAGAGAGAGAGAATATGAATGCTTATTTCCAGCTTGAACCGAAAGTAAATTCAGCTAAGAATTCAAACATCAGACATATCTTGGCCTATCTGGATGCCTCCTGAAGCAGTTCCAACAGGACTGATTTGCTCAAGGGACTGAAGAACTAGCTAGGCAAGAATGAATCCTAATCCTAAGGAAGTAATCATAAAGGCACACAAATGTATTATAGGGCTAGTGCCACAGAATTGGAGAGCAGGGCGATTCTGAATAAAGCCAAGTGCTTACACCCACAGCGTCTTCCAGTTCTTGGCTAAGTCCTAGGGAGAAGGGCTACAAGTACAAACCAAAGAAGCAGAAGATTAAAATCTCTGCACTATTCTGGGAGCCTGAGCCAGTTAGATTTGGGTACCCATATAACTGAGACAGTGGCCAACATTCATCAAAGGTCTCATGCTAGACCAGGTGCAACCCTGTGAGGGAAGTACTACCATCGTTAACCACACTTTACAGATGAGGAAACCTAAGCAAACAGGGACTAAGTAATTGCCCCGCAGTCCCACTGCAACCAGACACAAGGGCTGAAGCTCGGACCCAGGGAGGGCGGGTGTGACTCTACATCCCTACTGTGATCTACTCCAGGTTATGGAGTAAAACATTCAAGGGGAAAACTGAGTCTTCCCTTATTACTTGAAGCATACAGAAGTGGATCTGACTTCAGGAATTCCAGAGAACACAGTAAACCCTTGGCGCTTCTCAGTTGCTGGACCTTAAGGAGCATCCTTAAGACTCCCTGTGTTGCCTTGGAGGCACCAAGAGTGTAGGCTTCAGAGACATCACAGGCTGCACAGTGCCACCACTTAGGAAGTTAGAACGTGCAAGGAAGAAATCAGCTGACAGCGTTTGGAATCTGGGCAGACTCTGTACGGAAGGAAATCTTGTAATAACTGAGGGAATCTTTGCACAGGTCACATGAGAATGAATGAGTAGTTAGTCAAAGTCAGATCCTGTTTGTTACTAGAACTCTGCCACCCTATTTCACCCCTAGGCTGATGTGGCCTGGGGAAACCACGTTAGGCTCTAAGAAAGTAAGGTTACTGGAAAGACAGTTGGGTATGAAACTGCCATTTGTGTGCCTCCTGGGTGCTGGGCTCCATGTGACTGCCCTGGAGGCATGTGAATCTACGTGTGTTTCATTCTTGAGGAATAAAACTTTTGTCACGTTAATAATGAAATTCTTTCCTTATACAATGAGAGGAGGAGAGGGAGAGAAACATGAATATGGCATTTATCTTAGATGCAACATTTTACTTCCTGACTGTGTTAATGATTGTATTCGAATAGCAAGGAGGAAGAAAAAGACTTAAAACAGTGCATCGCATTTAGCATTTAACATCTGGGATCAATTCAGTCAAATTAAGACTCACAAGAGTACATCAGGACATCATAGGGGTTCTGATGTTGTCCTACAATCTGGTCATAACAATATTACATTTGTATGTGTTACACCATTGACACTGGATAAAAAGGAGCTTTAAAGACAATAGACCAGGTGCAAGTCCTGCCCCCTTTCACAAACTTTATTACTTTGGGCAAGATACTTAATCTCTTTGAGTCTCATTCTGTTTGTCTATCAGTGCATATGTTATCTGCCTATCTCACAGTATTAATGTGAGATTTGCAAAAGACATTACTTGCCAGGTGTTTGGAATAGTGCTGGGTCCAGAGGGCCTATATACCTCCAAAGCCCTTCCACATGATCTTCTTTAGCCTGTGTGTTTGTCCCTAGTGGTTAATTGAGCAATTCAAGTGTTAATTGTTTGAAAAGAGTCCTACAAAAAAAAAACACAAAAAAACAAACTCAGGATTATTCAAATTTCTGTATCAGTAAGGTAACTGAGGATTGAAAAATAAATTCTTGATTTTATCTTGACATACATGAGAACTCTCTTGAAATAAAAAATTGCTGTCTGCCAGGATATACACACCATTGTCACTTTCACAGATACAGAACAATATTACTGACATGTATTGATTATTTACCTCATGCCATGTTCTCTGCTAATTGGTGTTCAGCATCTAAATTAATTCCCACAGAAGGGGGAAGGTATGGTTTACAGAAGTTATGTATTTTGCTCAGAAGATCACAGCTAGTAAAGTGATTTATCTAGGACTCAAACCCAGATCTGTCTAAATCCAAAGCAATGTTTTAATCCCTAATCCATGTTGCCTGAACTATCCAAAAATCTTGCACAGATACATTTACATAATTTCACACAAAAGCTACCTTTGTCTTATAAGCAGGTGTCTCACCTGCCTTAACCTATGACACAGATATAATATCTTTGATTGTGAAGCCTATCAATCCCAGAAATGCCCCAAAGAGCACCTTTCCAAGGTCAAGTTCTTATCCAAAATCTTTGAAATCAAAGGAAAATTGCTAATTCTTTCAGTTTCATACCATCTAAACCCAACATCCTGTGCGAAAGGAGAAGGGAAGGATAAAAAAAAATAAATACATCTTATGTCCTGGTAAATTAAATGTAAATTAATGTTTTCCTTTGGGATAAACTTCTTTTATTTTTCTGGAGCTATTTTCTGGGTGTGTGGACCAAGAGTAGCTATGGCAGCAGAATTAGTAATCACTAACATTTATTAAACATTTACTATATGTTAGGTACTAACTATACTAATTAATAAATATTAATAGTAATTAATGCTAAAATACTAATTAATAAATTATCTCATTTGCTACTCACTATAACCTTACAAAGGAAGGGACTGTTACACAACAGATGAGAAATTGAGCCTTGGAGTCTCAGAGCTAACAATTTACAGAGGTGGGTCTCAGACTGGATTCTGTCTGATGCCAACATCCATATTTCTCACGGCTATAGATCCTGCCTCAGCTGTGAACTAGAATGCTGTTTAATTTCTCATTATTCCTGCATAATTAAATAAGCACGCTGCAACCCTGCAGCTTCTGTTAAATACCATGCAACACCTCAGAAGAAACAGCAGACAGTAATCCAGTAGGGAGTACTTAAAACTGCAGCATTCCAGGCAGGAAAATGGAATCAAATCCCATTTAGTAAAATCTTTAGGGAACAACAAATGTCTGACCACAGAAGCTACTCAAATAGCTTCTTCTCAGGGGACTGTGCTCCATGATCCTCTTGATGAGCTCTCTGTATGGCAGGGGTTTAGAGAAGATGAAACAGTCTGAATATACAGGAAAACTGAGACTCATTATATAGGAGATGATGTCGTAAATCACTAGCCTTAGAAATCAGTGACCAATGCATTTGAGTGTCCAGATAAGCATCAATTTTCCTGAAAATGTGTTTTTAAGATCTCCATGGGCAAACTTTTTAGGGCAGGGGCAGTCCTTTTCAGGACAAGGAACCTTCACAATGTGAGTCTTGATTTAGGGTTTTATATCCTCAGTCAGATCTT